TTCCTTACTTAACCATTTCTCAAAGATAGCTTTGATCTTGACACTTGTCAAATAGCCATAATTTATTGAAGGATTAACATTGTAATTAATTCTTTGATATCTGATGAACTCTAGTTTTATGATTCATCTCAATTGTAAAACCGTGAAAGTAACAATATTTTCATAACTTTGAAAATAAAAGAGAAAGAAAAACATTTTTTCAAATAATACAGTCTCTCTTGAGTGGATCTTGGTAAATGACATGTGACTCTAAGACACTAATCTCAAGCTTAGAATCAATGTTTAAGCAAGAAATGAGGAACAATTGGGGCACCTTTGAAGATTCAACATCAAATGTTGGGGCATTTTTTGAGATTCAACATCGAATATTGGGGCATCTTCGGGGATTCAAAATCTTGATGCAAACGATCAGATCTTCCGAAGGCCTTTACTCCACATACATATCAGTAGAAAAAAATGAGGCTCCATCCTAATTCATGTTGCATGCATATTAGGCATACTTAAGAGCATCACATTTATCACATACATAATTTTTGCAGCTTTTAGAGTCAAGTTTCGACTTCAAGACGAAGGATACTCGATTCAAAAGCACCTTTAAAGATTGATGGTGGTTGTTGAATTCAGCAGCAAGAAGCTACACTTCAACCAACTCGACAGATTGAAAGATCGACATTCATCTTCGGATTCAACATTTCCGATATAAATTTTGTCTCGCTCGAGACAGTCTCATTTAATGCAGATGATTATCTCACTTGAGATTGCTTTTCTTAAAACAAACCTTGTCTCACTTGAGACTGTTTTACTCGAAAGAAGATTTATTTCCCTCAAGATTGTTTTTCTTAAAACAAGAATTTTGTCTCGCTTGAGATAGTTTCCCTTGAAACAAAATTTTGTCTCCCTTGAGACAGTTTCTCTTGAAACATAAACATTGAAAACATTTCCCTTGAAATGAATTTTGTCTCTCTTGAGATAGTTTCCCTTGAAACAAAATTTTGTCTCCTTTGAGACGATTTCTCTTGAAACATAAACATTGAAAACATTTCCCTTAAAAATGAATTTTGTCTCTCTTGAGATAGTTTCCCTTGAAACAAATTTTGTCTCCCTTGAGACAGTTTCTCTTGAAATATAAACATTGAAAACATTTCCCTTGAAATGAATTTTGTCTCTCTTGAGATAGTTTCCCTTGAAACAAATTTTGTCTCCCTTGAGACAGTTTCTCTTGAAACAAAATCTTTGAATGTGTTTTCCTTGAAACAAATTTCGTCTCTCTTGAGACATTTTCTCCTGAAACAAGTTTTGTCTCTCTTGAGACAGTTTCCCTTGAAACGAATTTTGTCTCTCTGGAGACAGTTTCTCTTGAAACACCAATCTTTGAATATGTTTTTCTTGAAACAAAATTTTCCCTTGAAACATAAAAAGAAACCTCTGAAATTGTTTATCTTGAAACACAAAAAACCTTTGAAAATGTTTCTCTTGAAACACAAAACATTTGAGATTGTTTCCCTCGAAACAAATTTTGTCTCCCTTGATACAGTTTCTCTTGAAACACAAAATCTTTGAATTTATCTCCCTTAAAACAAATTTTGTTTCCCTTGAAGCAACAAATATCTTTGAGATCATTTCCCTTGAAACAAGTTCTGTCTCTTTTGAGACAACTTCTCTTGAAGCATCATTTAAACCGTTACACTCAAGCACATACTTGGGATGGTCGAGAAGCATTTCTCAAATCAAAAAATAGAATGTGCACATCAGATTTGAACTTTTGAAGAATTCGAGATCAGGGATCAGAACTTGAAGATTCCAGAACTAAGATTCCAGAAAAGCAACCAGAGATCGAGATTTCTCTCCTGAGCCCAAAAAATAACATATGTTGCATATGCATTTTAAGCACCTAAGAGCATTGCATCCATCTCATCACATATATACATAACTTTTTTAGGTTTTAGCTAGAGCCAATTTCAACTTCACAACGAAGGATATTGGACTCAAGACAACACAAGTTCAACTTCACAACGAAGGGACGGCTGGTTGTCAACAAACAATTTCCCAATTTTGGAGCCAATTTCAACTTCACATCGAAGGGCATTGGACTCGAGACAGCACAAGTTCAACTTCACAACGAAGGGACGACTGACTGTCAACAAAACAATTTCCTAGTTCCAGAACCAATTTCAACTTCACGACAGAAGATATTGGACTCGGAACAGCACGACCTGCATCGGATTTCAACTTCACGATGAAGGATATCCAATTCTCAGGCTCAACTTCATGACGAAGGGGCCCTTTACGATTCCAACTTCACAAAGAGATTGACCCAACTTAATGACGAAGGAGTCATCTATAACACAGCAACACCAAAGTCTTCAGGTCAAGTTTCACCTTCACGACGAAGTATCTTGAGCAAGAAGACGATTCAGAGGCCACTCGCCAAAGACTTTGAGTTCGATTTCAACTTCACGACGAATGATATCGTGCTCATAAGCTTTCAGTTTAACTCGACCTCACAACGAGGGAGTCATTCCATATTTCAGTTCAATTTGACAAACCAATCAAATATCGGATTTCAACTCTGCGATAAAGGATATTCGATATGGACGAAAATTTGTGTCTTTTATCTTTGCCCTATTTTTCGTTCCACGAAAAAGGACAAAGAGGGGCAGCTGTAGACACTAATTTTCACCCAACAACTCCATCCCGGAATTCTCGGCACTAAATCAGCAAGGATCGTTTTTTAGTTCGAATAGAACTCTAAAACTAATGCATTTGAGTCCAAATGAGACTCTAAATATGTCTAAAAATAGCCAATCACTTGGCTATTTAAACAGATATAAATCAACAAGCAAAGGGGGCGAAAAGACGGGGGCTAATCATCTCTCTTTCGAAACAGTAGACAACTGAGCTAAAAAAATCACACACACGCCACTCAACCCGAAATCAAAGACCAAAGCTTGGAGCTCCTTACAGTGAATTTGACCGAGCTTTCTCGCGTCTCAGTTCTTGTAGCTTGCATAGACCATTTCCAAGGGAGATATTCCAGAGAGTAAAATGCCAGAAACTCGAACCGGTTGAAGAACAAGGTTGGAGGAGGCCGCCTGGCGATCCGAGAAGAGAGGAATGACAATACAAAGATACAGGGTTGCACAAACGAAAAACAGAATAGGGGGGACTTGTTGCTGCTTTTGGTTCTGGGAGCAGTCCTTTTCTTGATGAATTATTGCGTCTTGAAGAAAAAAACAAAGAAGAAGGTTTGGGTCGATTGAGCAAGGTGCCTAGTGTTGCTGAGGCTTCTATACGTAATTTACCTCCATTTGCCATTGGTGACCCAAGTAACTTGAATACCATGGGTATTCTAGAAGCAAATAAGGGCAGACCAATGCAAGGTTTTTTTTGGATTAATTCCAGATTTTCAAGTATGGGAAAAGAATTGTCTTGAACTGTGTCGAGATCAACTGGTCCCATATACTCTTGGCCTGAAAACAATCTCGCAGCACGTGAAATATATTATCTTCAGAGGCGCCACAGCTTGGGCATCTTGGGTTATCAGAAAGCTCGCGCCTATTTCGCTCGGAGTTTGCCATTAGTCTTTGATGCAGGGTCGTCTAAATAAATTGCTTGACACGTTGGGGTCCTTCGAAATGCCAGCCATGACTTGGTCTCACTTCCCAACGGGTTTTTCCTCCCCAACTCCGCACTCGAGCAAGGCCCGCCTCATGAAGCCGTTCTCAAAGTAATTCCAGACATCATGCGGGAATTTAAAACGAAACCAGGGAGAAGGGTTGTTATTTTCTTTCTGGGCATTTTCAGGTTTGGTGGTGCCAAAAAAGGTTTGTCTGTCTAAGTTCACTGAATCGTTTTTGTTCTATATATATTCTTGCTTACTGTTTGACATAGCATTTCAATATAAAGTATGGTTGACATAACATTTTTTTTAAAAAGCCTTTGTTTTTTATCATTTGCTTTTCCATATATTTTTATTATTAGTATAACTATTGGGGTTCTGGAATTTAGAGGTTAGGTACCATTAGATATCATTGAACTACTTTCAATCTGTACTGCATCTTTTATCTATTATTTTGTTTAACACCATGTCTTCTCTTCTTTTCCCATGTAATTGTTCAATCTTTAATTGTTATATTCCTAAGATATTTCTATTTCACTTCTATTCAATATACTATTGTAACCAATTTTTAGGGGTAATTTCAATCGATTAAAGGTAATTATTCGAATTGATTTTTTAAATTTTAATTTAATTTTTTAATTTTCGCAATTAAAGACAACTGACAAATTAATTGGTATAAAAAGGGCGGTTCAAGGATGCTAATCCTTCCTTGACCGTAACCGACTCCCGAACCCGACACGTTTCTAGTAAAACGCAGATCAGGTAAGATGGTGTCCGACCAACCTAAATGTTTTTTAAATGATCGATGGCGACTCCAATCCACATTTTTCAAGTCGAAACCCAATTCCGGGACCAAACCGAAAGACGATTGCGACAACCATGAATAAATTTCACAAACAGCAAGAATAAGGGGATCTTCTAGAACAAACTCCAACGGCATAATGGAAAATTCAAAATGATTTTCTTCTATGCTAAGGATATTCACATGATAAACCGCAAAATGGCAGTGGAATGTGATCGCAGGACTACGAGCAACTAACCAAAATCAATATTTTGTCCTTTAAATTTTTGTTATTTCTAAATCTAATGAAGCAACTATATGGATTTTGGTGACTTTCAATGTCCACCTGTAGTTTGCGCTTTCATAAAATCATCACAAGAATCCAAGTCCTTCCTAAAGTTTACCTCAATAACTTGACAAGTATCAGTACATATAGTAGCTTTCTAGTTTCTAACATCACGTCTATCTAGAATGAATAAAACAAAAATCCATTCACCAGAAAAACTCTTCCATGCAAGAGAAAAACTACACCAACTCACGTTGTATCATCTGAAAAGTAAAAGGATGATTAGGGTAATAACCATCAAGTAGCGATATATACCTACATATTGTTGAAATTGGAAAAAAAGAATCAGAAATTCATTGCTGTCCTCACTCTATGTAGAACTTCTTTTTAATTGGAGTAAGTACTTTTCCAGAAGGTTTGCTAATCTTAACATCAAATTCAACCTCCATTAATCGATGATTTTCCTTAGAACGGTTCATTGAGAAAGAAGCATTGAGGTTGGTCTCTTCATCAACATGAAGAGGAGGATGAAAGAAAAAAACCTGTCCAAAATAAAAAGCGAAAAAAAATCATCAGGAAAATGAAGAAGCAAATACTCACGAGCGTGCTTTATGAAAGAAACTAGGCTCCAAAACATTATGCAACACTGCAATACCAAAGCCATGTATATAAACAAGCACTAACTCTAAATGCATGGATAAATTAGGGAAGAAGGGCAAGTAACAAATTGCTTTATCACTTTCGAGAACTGGGATTCAAATGCATGATTTTAAATTGTTCCCAAATGTTTTTGCAATCACATACTTATAGTTGAAGTATGTGTGTGGATTTGAGCAATTCAAACCTGTTGTCCCCAATGAGTGCCATTATTTGGACTAGGAGCAGTTGTTAACTCAATCTCTTGTTGAGCAGGATCCTCCCCTCTTCCCTGTTGCACAAGATAAGAACAAGAGTTATCTCGCACACATGATGCCATTTCATTCAATTGGTCCAGCCAGACTAATAAGGAATACTGAGGCTCGACTTACTCGGAAATGCACATCAAACCATCCTGCAAATCCACAGAAGCGAGTGGACACCATGCTGATAGCTGCGGAGAAACTTGATTTGATTTGAAGGATGTCATTTACAGAAGCGGTTAAACAATCGATATCCTTTATAACCGCTGCTGTCCCAATAACTTGATTTGGATGGAGGTTGTTCCATAATGATGTCTATACAAATTAATAGATTTCATTAGACAAAGGACTGAACAAGTGACAACCCTCTCAGTTCTTAAAGATATTAGCACTATCAATATATGGAAGAAATTCAGTACATGAACATCTAATATATGGATCTCACTAAAGACATCAAAACATTCAGCACCTAAAGGGTCAAAAGGTCATTCCTTTACCAACCAACATTGATCTTTAAGCAACAGATAAAAATTAAGATGTTGTCTGAGAAATACACTGAAAATAATGATATCAAGGGCACCAAGGAACCAGAAATTTTCAAAACTCACCTGCAGATAATATTTCTCCTGCTCTTCTGAGAAAGGTATTGTCAAAACACTCATATCGACACCATAGTAATCCTTCGTATCTTCCAAAAACCCATACCAATCATCCATTGTTCCTTTAAAATCAATTTTCTTTTGATCCGCCAATCCAGACCGAATAGGTGCCACCCACATGCGTGCATGGCTAGGATACCTACAAATGGAAATTTGTTAGCCAAACACTGAGCTTGCAAAATTTGTTAAGAATGCTCAAGAGCTTCATAAATACTAGAAGTGGCTGCTCAAGCAAAATACTAATATAACATGACAGAAAATGTACAGTAATACAGCAGAAATGCAAAGGTCCTATTAGAGTCAAATTCAGCTACATCACATCCATATGTCATTTATGTACTTTTAGAATTTTCAGTTGGCAAGATAGCAACCCACATCTCACCTTAGTACTTAGTTAAAAAGCCTATCGGCAGGCATTTCCGGCCAGTTCAAGCTGAAATCCCTCAGTTTTTACTTTGTCAAAAACTATCTTGCATTTGACCACTGGGGTCGTAGCCACTTTCTTGCACTTAAAACATGCTTCATATAAAAAAAAATCACTCAATCCTTCAATTTTCTTTTCAATCCATGAATCTGACTCAAAGTACTCTCAAATTTATCACAATACCATTCTTCTAGAGATGGAAAGGAAAAAGAAAAGGCATGCAAATACTCATGCTTATTTAATATTTTCAGTAAAAGAATCCAGTAACTGAAGCTTTTAGGCGGAGTATTATATACTGATAAAGAATTAACTAACCAACAAGATAGTTTTGGATGGCAGAGCCGCCTCAATCTTATAGGAAGTTACTTAAGAAAAAATAACACATGTGACCAGTGGCGGAGCCACTTGCCAACCCTCAAATATAAAATTCCTTCTATTGGTTATTTATTTTATCGATTGTGCCCATCTTGAAATCTGAATTTCCTTTTATATTCAATAAATTATGTTTTGGTAATATACGTAAGCCCACCCTAAAAAATATTTCTAGATCTGTCACTGCATGTGACATAGGCACAGAGAAAAAAGAAAAGAAAAGCTCATAAAATAAACAAAAATGTCTAACTAATAAAACATGAGACATACAAAAAAAAAACTTAAAATGATAAACAGGTGAAGTGAACTTCTAAAGAGCTCCTTACATGACTCCAGTTGGTTTCAGCCAACGATCTCGAGCACAGATCACAGAGTCAAACATAGACTCGCGCAAGAGAAAGTAGCCCATCCACTCCGAGATAATCACATCAACTGCCAATTAACCAAAATCTAAGATCAGAGGGGAAAAAACTTATATACTCGTTTAAAACATCCTGGATGTAATGTAACTAACAAGTATAACCTTTCTCTGGCAAAACAACTTCTTCCATAGAGCCCTCAATTACTTCAACGATGTCTTGAAGATTGTTTGCCTGAACAAGAGTCCTGGCATGCTCTGACATCTTGGTTGCTTCAACAGCATAGACCTTCCTTGCACCAGCCTGGGCAGACCAGATGGCAAGAATGCCACTTCCGGTTCCTACATCTAACACCGTCTTCACCAGGATTCACCAAATTAGTTTTCTGTCAATACTTAACATAGTGGCAAAAACAATCCACACAGAAACGATATACATAAAATAACAATAAAATCAATAAGAAAACTGAGCACCCCTGTCAAAATTTATTCATTTTCTTTGGTTTCCTAGTTTACAATAGGTGCAGGTTATCTAAAAGGGCTCCGCTTTAAATTTTTAAACTTTCATAGCTTTCTCAAGTCTCATCTCCACTAAGGTGTGACAAAACATGAAAGGAAAAAAGGGAGTAACTTTTAGGCATTTCAAACAGCAAAACAATAACACCCAACTGCCTCTAGTTGATTGTATAAGTTTTACCAACTTACTAAGTTAATACCCCAAACATAAAGGGTTTCTCTTTTTACATATTTGGATTCAAGTTCTAAACTTTAAGCCAGAAAAGAAAAGGAAAAGGCGTTACCTTTCCTTGGAAATGATGTTTGTTCTTAAAAACAGCATTGTAGTAAGCGTCCATGCGGACTCGATCACTGAGCATCTCTTTCTGGTGGTAAAGAAGAGCATAAGTGCAGAAGTAATTGGCAAAATCAGCTCCCTTATCCATCGGTCGATTGCTGCTACCGCCAGCAACGCCATTTGTACGGCTTCCCATTCTCTCTCTTTGTCACTAAGCGCTCTAATCTCAAAGCTTTTTAACACGGAAGGAAATAGTGAAACTAGTTCTTTAGGGCAACGTCGTCATAGGCGGCGAGGATTAATACATTTATTGATTCACATGATAAATTATGCGGGATTCATAACGGATTGATTTCAAATAAATTTCAAAATTACTTTATAAATTATTATTGTTAAAAACTCTATTTTAAAAAAATGTTAACAATTCTAAAATTAATTTAATATATATATTTGACTTGAAAGGGTTAAAAAGAAAACCATTCTATTAATTAATTTTAATATTTATTTTAAAGTTGTTATATTTTAAATTATATTTAGATGATTAGTGTGCACGTTAATTTTAACTCCTATTGAGGTATATGTTAATTTTCTTCATAAACAATTATTACTTCATTATAAATCAATCAGGTAGTCGGAGAATGTTATTCTCCCTATAATTTCTAAGTTCAAATAGTTACAAATTGTATACGCGTTATTAATTGATTAAAAAAATTAAACAGATATCACTTTGTAATCACTTCAAACTATTCAAAACATTTATTACTTAATTATTGAATTAATTGAATGATCTCAAAGGTAAAAGAGAACATTGTTCTTTTTAGAGAATCCGAATTTAAACAACTACATTAGATGTGTATATGTTGTCAATAAATTAAAAAAATCTAAACAAATACTTATAATCACTTCAGACTATTTTAGAATCATTAATTAATTATTCTTTAAATAATCTATATTATACATATACTCGACTTAAATTCGATGCTTTTTTTCCCAACAATATAGACTAGGTCCTTGAGGAGATGGAATAGGCCTGTTCTTGGTTAACTTCATAATGAACAAGAGAAAAAATTAATTAATAAACCAAAAAGTTGGAAATGGAAATCTAATTACAACATTAAAATCAAAGTTCAAGCTCTCCTTTTTTAAGCTTCTTTGCGGTCGCACGTTCGAGCTTCTTTAATAAAAGATATATCCGAAGGTCCCTCTTTTGGTGAGAGCAACTGCTTCTCCGGATCTGTATCGTCGATTTCTGTAGAGTCACCGGTTCTGGTTATTGAGACAGTTTCAATTCCTTCTTCTGGAAGCAAGCCAGACAAAAGAAGCAGAAGAAAGTCCCAAATATCAGAATGAGTAAATGGAAGATTCAACCGTTCACATACTGCAGAAAAGACGGGAATCATACCGATTTCGTGATATTCAGGCAACTGCTTCACTGTGGTTACTTGAAGGCTTTCAGGAAGCAGACAGCTGCACAAATAACCTACATTTTTGGTAAATCGTAAACTTAATGATTTTCCTTGTGTTTTTTCATTTTAGTGGAAAATACCAAATACGGATGACGAAAAGTATACTACATAACAATCTACGGTTGGCTTAGGGGTTGTTTGCCTCCCAATGGGCTCAAGGACCAGGGTTGTTCAAACTTCATACGTATCAAACAAAATAGCTACACATATGCCAAATCCTTGAGGGCTACACCCATACAAAATCTAACAGTATGACATAATGTCATGGACAATTTGAAGAAGATAGATAAGAGACACGTGTATATATATATATATACACAGAATTCGATAAACAATTGGAAGGATCAACAAACCTATCCGAGCCAGGCGGTTTACCCATCCGGGGATATGTTTTCCAGTCAATCTATGCACCATGTCATCTGTAAAGTGGTTACAGTTCTTGGAGATGAGATGGTAGGTATCTCCATGATACTCAGAAGCTACACTCTCGATCAATGCTCTGAATTCAGAGAAAGGCATGTGTATGCATCCCAATGCGATGGAACATCTGTAGATAAAACCAGGGCAGCTCTTTGGCTCTACTTCAAAAACTCCACTAATTGGAAAATCATGTGCCCCAAACCCATACTCTTTACCATGAACTGTTCATAAATATTGAGATAGATAGTTCAGTTTCCTAAATTAGAGAAAGGATTACCAACACAGGAAGTATTTAGCCTAAAGCCCTCAACAGCATGATTTCATATTGAAGCCACTAAAGGGCAACCAAGTATTTAGCAATAAGCTGTTTTATTTCAATCATGCTACGAGTTCTTGGAGATCCGGTGCATTTCAATCAGACCAAGTATCAACAAATACCTAATCTTAAATCTAACTAAATGGAACTTTGAGTCCTTTACCACCACAACTATGTTCAACTAATCTGAATAACATGTACTAGAAGTAGAAACAGATAGAATTTTAGGACCAAAAGTATAATGTAGTAACTTCATTTAACATAAAAAAAACCTTGATTCAAACATTTTCAAAACAAAATCTTGCTAAAACAGAAATACATTGCCTCATGCATACACAACTTTTCAAACTACTGTAAAATTAGATGACGAATTCATTAGTTAATAAAAAGATCTAAGCAAACATCAAAAGATCTCATTTTCTCCATAATTCATACCATTATTAAAGTCCGAATTTCTGCTCCAAAAACCTTTCTATCCCAAATAAAAGCCTAAATGAATGTAAAGCTTCAGCTACACAAAGGAGAAAAGCAAGTAAAATATTATTTAAAACAAATCGGGAAACCCATATCCATTTTCTACCAAGAGAAACCAAATTCACCATTTTGGAGCAATAAGAAGCTAAAATAATCTATACCCACGTCCCAACGCATACAAAGAAACAGACAAACCCAATATAAAACAAAGAGAAAGCAGAAATGAGAGGAAACCTTCAATGCCGGAGTGGAAAATCCCCAAACCAACCCAATAAGAGTAATTATTGATAGGAGTTAGATCATATACATTCAAAATCACATTGGTTACGTCGCTATAGCACTCATTTTGATTCCCAGAGCTAGAGCTAGAGCTAGAGCTTGAAACTTCTCCCCCTGCCCCCATCTTTTTTCTCCTCGTTGACACAAACGCACACATAAAAAAGAGCTTGTCGAAAAAGAATTACAAAAATCCCAGAGTTGTGTTCCAGTCTATCGCTCAGATCAAACTGTGTGTTGAGGCTAAAAGGACCCGATTTCCATTTCTAATTTAACAGAGAAGAAAGGGGTAAAAAAGATAATAAATGGGGAAATTAAAGGCAAAGACAAGTCAGATGTTTGTTTAATAGCACGTTCCAAAACAATTACCAACTGATTCTTAACACATGACTTCATCTGTATGCCAACAAAAATTATTATACATGTTTGTTTATTATACAACGATTAATGTCTTTTAGTTCAGGTCGAGTTTAACGGTCGTTTGCTAACTTTAATTTCTTGGATTTAAAATTGATTTAAGTTTCAAACATTTTTACTTATAAAATAAAATTCCCATTACAATTTCACTTTGCTATCATATACAATCAACGATATTGTTTTATATTTACAAAAGTTTAATCTGATGGACTTTATGTTATACAGTTAATGAAAAAAACATCTAATTGCCAATTTTTTCATATATTTATTATACGTCTACCAAATAATAATCTTATTACTTCGAAAGTAATTCAGAAACTCCTATGACATTGACTTTGAAAGTAAGCTGAAAGATAATGAAATTTTAAAACTTAATTTCAGTATTGTGATGCTTTAGAGAAAATTTGAGACGGAGAGATCGAAAGAGCTTGGTAATTAGAACTCAATTTTGTTTAAATTGCTTACTTTCGATCTCTCCGCCTCAAATTTTCTCTAAAGCAATACATATGTAAACAAAATATATATTATATTTATTTTGTTTAAATATCATGTTCAGTATTATAAATCTATACGAGTTAAACCTGTATACTAACTACCTTATTTTGAACAGACTACTTTCATTGAAAAATTATTTTCATAATGATCATTAAAACAATAAATGATAGTTCCTTGAAAGTTCGATTGTCATGCAATTGAGATTTTATTAAATAAAGTTCTAATTTCAAAAAAAAAATGTTATTAAAGATGCATAAATTGTTACATAGTTTGCACCTTATTCTTACCTTAAATTAAGGCTCCTCACCCAAAAACTATCCTACAGTATTGAATTTGGGTCTCATTTGACTTGTATTAGAAAATAGTATTTTAAATCAAATGACAACTTGGCAAGAGTAGGGGAATAAACAGCTCTGAAAATCTCACAATTCTCCAAAGAACTACCCAGAAACAAATATACCTCAACAGTTGAGAAAAGTAAACCTTTCAAATTATTGCGACCATAACACAGAAATATAAATTGCTGTGAATAAAAAAAGGGTATACTGCATGATTTTAAGTTCCCAGATACCTTAATTTTTCCCCACTCATTTGATAAAACAGCAAACAACTCGGGACCATCTTTGTTGCACCCTGTGTGCAACAGATACAAAGACACTCGAGCAATGGACTTTATGTATTCCTCTCCTTGTCCAACCTAAAACACCAGAAACGGAGTCGGTCCAGATATCTATTAGCTATACCAAGAAAGAAACTAAAGCAAACAAGTAAATGACATGCATTAATATGGCATGGCACTTACGATTAAAACTCTCACACGCAAAGAAGAAACTGAGCACAATAAAGATACAATCACAATCATGGATGATTATCGGGAGAAGTCCGTCGCCTTACACTTCGCCTCCAAGGAAATGATCCACCATCTGAGGACTCGTCCTCGTCTCTGGTAGGTCCAGTTTCCCCATCATAGCTTTCTCCCCAATGTCTGGTGGATCTCCTCCTAATTCTCAGTTGAGCTCTTGCCCCCGAGGTGCCAGACCAACTGCTGCTCCTGGGACTAGACCCTGGTTGGAACACTCGTATAAGGAAAAAGACAGTGAGCCAACTTCCATCATCAATTGGTAATATGCTGTCATCAGCCCTCTCCTCCCCAAATGAAGACTGCAGCGTGCTGAGCAAGTCTCCAAGATCTCTTTGACGCTCCAACCTCCTCCAATTCCGCTGTCGCTCAGGATCAGCCTCTGACGGTCGCACAGAAGGGTGCTCAAGCCTTGCATGCTTCCTCAGGTCTTTATAGGAACCAGTAAAATTACATGTTTCAGAGGAACAACTTCTAGATTTGGCATTCATGAAATGCCGAGCAGGCTCTACAACAACCCAATCTTTTACCTCACCACGACATAGAGGGCACACTAGTTTGGAGAGCACTTGCTTCTCACATGAGACAGTAAATGGGGTGGAGGGCCCTTCCTCGGTCATTTCTTCCTGCAACTCAGAGACAGTTGATTCTGAAGTTGCAGCTGCATCTGTGGTTACAAGCTGAGCTCCTTCTTGTTGAGGATCTTGTGGTACTGTAGCAGCAGTATCTGAAAATGTCTTGCGAAACTGATCAAAACAGTTAGAGTGGCGAGAACTTGTATCACACATGTATGGACAGCAACCCTTTTCATGGGAAGAACATACAAGGAGAATTGCATTGTGAGGATGCTCCATGCAGACAGGGCACCTGGCATCTTCCCATTCCTTTAGATTTTCCTCAGTTTCTGAAGGGAATTTGGGTGATGATTGGTTACAGAAGGGGGATCTGCTACACCTATCAGAAGAAAGGGAACGATTTCTTCTCTCCTTTGGCATATTTAAATCTCTAATGTCCAAAACTAATTCCAAGTCACTTGACCTTTGAGAAGGCAGAAACTGAATGATTAAAAGTACAAAACATAACATCATCACTGGTTAAAACATAGAGGATACAATTCAGCAGAAAATGAAATGAGCGCTAACAAGTAAAATAAATGGAAAAAGAACAGAATACCAAGATAAAAATGAAATCTTTCACAACACTAGATAAGCTATAGAAATAGCAGACAGACGTCACCGAAGATAAGATTTTGTGGATCAAGAAGTTAGCATTCAACAGCTATATAATGAGAAATGTTGCAGTTAGTTATGGTTGTAGCATAGATGACTCTAGGACTGCATTATAATTCCAGGCAGTTAAGCAATTAGTTCACAATCAGTTTTTAAAAAAAAGTAATCGCTCCAATTTTATCATCCTTACAAATCTGACACTTCAAGAACTGGAATCTATAACAAAGATGATAATCACAATCAACAACAGGTGGCACAAACAACAGAATGAATCTACCAATGTTCAAGGCTGTGACATTGCTAAAAGGCCAAACTACAGCAATACATCTCATCAGTGACGTATATTTTTAAAATGCAGAATTAAGTTGAATATAAGTATTAATCTCTACCGGTAATTATTTCTCTTATGCAATTGCAACTCCTTTTAGATTCTGTTTTACATCAGTTTGCTTCATTTAGGGTTCTACAATTGTCTCAGCTACTATCATAATCGTTTTCTTCACTTTGCACAAAAGCTTCTTCTTACAACCAACTACAACAAGATAAAAAGTCCATAAAAAAGCTACTGCCAAGATAAACCCAAACTGATGAAACCATCCACCAGTATATCTTCCTGCATATCTATTTTCCCGTCAAAAGTAATTGTTAACCTGACATGTAACGTTATCAATTATCAAGACTAAAACTCAACTATAACAAACTGTCAAGTATCCAAAAGAAAAATAGCACTGAACATTGAATCGCGTAATTTCACATTTTACAGCATAAGATTTTCAATTAAAATCACTTTCCGGCACCATATTAATTACATGAGAAAACACACACAAGTTAAATTCAAGTGCGGAGTAATATCGAAATACAAAAACAAGGACACAACAATATCGGAGGCTATATTAACTAAGGAATAAAATTTCTTTGAGCTCCATTTGAAAATAAAGATTTCGAATAAAACAAGAATATTAAGTTCAAAATCCCCACAAACAAACAAGAAAACAAAATTCTTCCAAAATTAAATAACTATATGAAAACAAAAAGAAATCGATTCGGGAGTTCTATTTTTCGAATTAGGTAATTACCAGCAAATTCAGCTTGGAGGCGTCAACAGAAAGATAAACGAAATGACTTCCGATTGGATTTGGAGGCTAAGATCTTTAAAGTAGATTCAGTAATTCTTTTTTTCTTCTGTTAAATACTAAAATAATTTAAATCTGTAATTAGGGATTTGAATAGAGAGAGAAACAGAAGAAATGAAGAAAGAGAGCAGGAGCCTTACTTTCGTACTTCTTAAGGCTCTTTCGAGCATTTTCTTCTTTTTTTTATCTCCAAAATACAAACAAAATTATAATTAAAAAAGGGTAAAGTATAGTATTGGTCACTGAACTTTTCTAAATATTTCATTTAGGTCTCCTAACTTTTAAAACTTTTAATACAGTCCCCAACATTTAGTTTGTTTGCAATATGGTCCCCAACATTTAGTTTGTTTGCAATATGGTCCCCAACATTTAGTTTGTTTACAATATAGTCCCCGATGTAATCGACCGTTTGACGTCGTTACACTGCCGTTAGTACGTTTGCAATATGGTCATTGAACTTTCAGGCGCTTGCATTTAGATCTCCTAACTTTTAAAACTTACAACATAATTCTCAATTTCATTCTAAACCCCAAATTCTTTTTTAATCTCAATTTTCTTTTTTCGCTTCTCTCTTCTCATTTCCAGCATAACTTTTCAGTTAGGGATGCATGGAAAATTTTAATATAACTTTGAATTATGTGGATGTGTTGACTTGAATAAGGGTCCATTGAGAGAAAACCCGACCAAGAGACTATCGGGACCATCAACGATTCAAGGTGTAATGTTAGATACATGTCATCTCAGGTGAAGCATAGATGTTCGATGAAATGCTTGTGAGAAAAAAATAGGGTTAAAAATGCATAGTTGACAAATACTACTAAGATTAACTAAGTATCATTGTTGAAAGTCAACAACAAAACTGAAAATATTTTGTATAAATGGCATATAATAATTTATTCGTTTAATCCTCGTGGTTAAAGATTTTCCAACAGATGATCAAATATAATGAAATCTCAAACAATGTATTCACCTCTCAGTCTCTTTTGCAACTCGAAAGGCATCGTGACAGGGTCAAGTAGTTGCTCCAAATATATTACCCTGTCATGATGTCTTTCGAGTTGCGTGCATGCAAAATTTTCTTTTAAAGCTATAATTCAATACAATTCAACTATAAAATTTCAAAAACATGTAAAAAAATCCAATTCGTTCACGATATATCAGTCCCATAATCAACATGAACTTATTAAAAAGAATATGAGCTCACTGGACGCCAAAAACCACAGGTCATATCAATACAATTCCCAATAAATTAGTACCAACAGTCTCTCAAATTGAGCCTGGTGATTTCACTATGTCGATACTCACAACCAATTCCCTAATTTAAATAAAAACCAAACATGAAGATCAAAAAAAATTTAGCATATGACCTTATTGCACTTCTATTCTGATGGACTATATATATTTCATAAGGAGTACTAAAAGTTTTGATGAATAATAAAGAAAGAAAATTAGATGGTTTTGGTTCAAAACTAACACTGAATATCTAGATCATTGATATGCACTTCCAGAAACATAAAAATTTCAACAAAAAACACACAATGTGAGCTGAAAATGGGAAAGTGCGAAAGAGGAAAAGCTTACTTCCAAATAGCCCAAAAGAGAAAATAAATACCTTCTTGCAAGCGAGGGGAGAGGCTAAGAAATAAACGCATTCTGTGTTGCGTTCCAGCAATTCTTCCTCCATTTTTTCTTTGTAAATAAAAAGTTGAAAGACAGAGCACTGCTTGGGTTTACAATTTTACATGGCGGAAAATTGAAGAACAAAAACCAAACGAGAGTGCAAGTGAGCGAAAGAGACTAAGAGGTGAATGTGTTGTTTGGGATTTCATTATATTTGATAATCTATTGGAAAATCTTTAACCACAATGATTAAACGAAGAAATTATTATATTTCATTTATACAAAATAATTCCAGCTTTGTTGGTGACTTTCAACAATGATACTTAGTTCATCTTAGTAGTATTTGATCAAACATCTATGTTTCACCTGAGATGACCTATATCTAACATTACACCTTGAATCGTTGATGGTCCCGATAGTCTATTGGTCGGGTCTTCTCTCAATGGGCCCTTATTCAAGTCAACACCTCCACATAATTCAAAGTTATATTAGAATTTTGCATGCATCCCCGAATGAAAAGTTACGCTAGAAATGAGAAGGGAGAAGCGAAAAAGGAAATTTGATATTTAAAAGGAATTTGGGGTTTAGAATGAAATTGAGGTTTATTTTGCAAGTTTTAAAAGTTGGGGGACCTAAATGCAAGTGCTTGAAAAGTTCAGTGACCATATTATAAACGTACTAACGATAGTGTAACGACGTCAAACGATCAGTTACGTCGGGGACCATATTGCAAACGGACTAAATGTTGGGGACCGTATTGTAAATGGACTAAATATTAGGGGACTGTATTACAAGTTTTAAAAGTTGGGAGACCTAAATGAAAACTTTAAAAAAGTTCAGTGGCCATTACTATACTTTACCCTTAAAAAATAAGAGTGCGATAAGAGAAAAAATAGGGGAATTTAATATGGAAGCTGACGTGGTTATGCTGAGTTCGATGAATTTTTAATTTTCGAATTATTATTTTTTAAATCGGTGATGTTTTGGTACTCGATGAAGAATAAAGATGTCTAATTACCACTTGCAATCTTTATCTATTACCTTTGTTTTAGTTAGGGCTCTAATTCATTCTCTTTAAAATTAAATAAAGACAAAATTTCAATGAAATTGTGGCTGGATTCGAGTCCAAATCTCCACGCCCACAATGTATAATTTTTATCCATAAACTACTTAGTTAAAACTATTATTTATGGGGTATCCTAGAAGGCCTTCGACTCACATGACAATAAGATATTGAATATGTTATCGTCCAGACTGATAGCAACGATGTTTAGTCTTCTTTCTTCTCCGTCTATGGATATCCCCTCGCATTGGTGAGATCAATTGCGATTCTTTACAATAAACCTTGGCTCTTTGATTTCATGAAGATCTATCATAAGGCTAATTCAGCAGCAGATTTCATCATTAAAATGAATATTTCTCGTGATTGTTCTATTGTTATTTTCGGTTCCTTTCTGCCTCCTTTACTTGATATCATTCATAGGGACTTCTGTAGCCCTCCCTATCCTATGTTAAATAAAGCTTTGTAACAGTTTTTTCTTACCTTCTTTATTTTTTTTAAAAAAAAAGATGTTTATTTATTTTAAAATTATTTATTATTTTAATGATTATAGTATATGTAAATTTATTTTTAAAATATATTTAATTGAAATAATATTATCATATTTATTTTTTAAAAATAAAATATATTATTCTATGTCACAATATAATTTTCTTATCATATTTGATGATGCAAGTTATAATTATAAAATTAGACATATTTACTTTTTTTAAAATAATAGATATATCAATTTTAATGATTCAATTTTGAATAGTGCTATCTACATGGGGAAAGACGAGATCTATATAATTTAAGATGTTAAAAAAATAAAATAATATTAACTATAAAAATGAATACACCAATTCACATCCACCTCCTTAAAAATTATTGTCCAAACATGTCACAATTACGTTTTTTTGGTACATTGGATGGGAGCCTCCTTTAGCCGGAGGTCTATTTCCTAAGGGTGCGTTTGGTTCACGGAATGTAAGATTATCTCCGGGAGTAGGATTACCGGAATGTTTCATTACCTAACACATTACTGAGAATGTTACATTGTGTTTGGTTTGTTTGGTAGGAATGTAAGATTACAGTGTTTGGTTGAAGGAATAAAATATTACTGGAATGTATATTTTACGAAATTGTCCTTGTTCTATATTATTTAACGAGTGGAATTCTAAATATTTAAATGAAAATATTTATATAAAAATTCATTGAGAATATATTACTTTATTATTTTTAATATATATACTTTTTATTAAAATTTATGTATAATTTTTTTATAAAATTTAAAAGATAAATGGGCAGAATAAAAGAGTAAATATACCATGTATTATTTTAATTTTAAATAATATTAAATTTTACATAATTCTAAAAATATATTAAAATTTTATATTAACATTTAACTAAATAAGCATATGAACATTTTAATAGATGAACAATTTTACTCCTACCAAAATGTACAAAGATGACTTTATTATAAATGAATGCATTTACTTTTTAAATGTGTATAATTAAATTAAAATTTTATATATACAATTACACAAAAATCAAAATTATATATTATATAAAATTATAAATTAATGTTTATGTATTTCTTTTGGTACATGATTAATATTTATGTATTACTTACGCATTTAACAAAATTAATGTGTAATTTTAATAATTCAAAAAAATAAAAAACTTAATTCAAGTGATTCTTAGATAACATATCATCTAATTACTGGTAGCTTATGCATTGCTTTTCTAGCCTTATTATGAGGCTTGCCATCTAATTACTTGAAGATGTCAAAAGTACATAGAATTTGATCAACTATACATACTACAAGTTAAAAACTACTCGTCCTATAATTTTCCATCAAATTCAGTTTTCTACTTTTCTTTGTTTGGAGTCCAAAATGGCACTTGCTTGCTACCCAAAGTCAAAATCCAAGGACTAACTTCTCAACCTTGATATAACTCAAAGCCAACATCCAAAGCACCAAGTAAACCTCCTTTTGAGTTGAAGCGGCTCTAGAATATTATAGAAGGTTTGATAAATAAAAGTATGCATTTGATGCACCCTTACTTTGAGGATCTTCAAGCTGTATATAACCAGAATATGATTAAACAAAATTATTACCGCTTAAAAAGTTGTTACTGTGCATAGGCTTCAATAGATGGAAAAAACTAGTGTTCAAGTAATTTAATACCAACTTACTTTGTTAACTAGGGAAGATATTAGCTTACGTTTTTGCTCCGGTTTGCTCTTTAGCAGTGCATACATGGTTTGCAAAATATAAAGTTAAGACATTTGTAATATAACCT